CACATCTAGATGTGTATAACCCCCCCCCCCCGACCCCCTCTGCACCCCCCTCCCGCGCCTAGCAAGGAAGGCCAGAGGACCAGGCAAGTTGAGTTGATGGGACTCTCTGCCGTTGGGTCCGAAGTGAAGTGAAGCTTGGTACTGGGACTCGGTAAAGGTCCCAGTACCCCCAGTGCGCAAGCCCGTGAGTGCCGTCTTGAATTTGCAATCAAGGGGATGCTGGACCCCTTTTTCCACAGCAGGTGTAGCGCCTCCCCAATAAATTGGAACCATCCCTGAGAAAAGCCACCACTAGAGATTTTTGCTCCCATAAATTGCAAGGGTGGGGCCCCCCCCATTGGATGATCTTTCTGGAAAAAAAAAGTAAAAAAAAAAAAGAGAGAAGAACCTCCTCAAAACATTCCAGGACAAGGGACCAAAAAATGACCAAAGAAGATTCCAGGAACAAAGAACAAACAGAGCTGCTGCAGTCCTTGGGGACGGGACATCGGTTGAAAGTGAAAAGATACAGAGATTCTGAAGGGTAAATTGGCAAATGGCGCCTGTGCAAGGATGGCACACATAGATTATGGAGAAATAGTCGAAACTCGGAAAAAAAAAAAAAAAAAAAAAAAATCTTAGCAAGGTTCCAGGAGCAAGAACGAACCCAGCGAGGATTCCAGGGAACAAAGAACGAACCAAGTAAGAATATCTTCCCTGGGTTTTTGTTTATCGGAAAACGTTAAATTTGCGATATACCCCTGAACATTCATGTATATGCTAAAATAGCCCTCTGAATTTTATTTATTTATTTATTTATTTTAATTATAAAAGTAATCGAATGAGGCCGGGAATCCCTCAACATCTCAACCCGGGAGTGACTCTTGTGCTGGAAACCGGGTCCAGCGTCCCATGGTCTGCAACTCCAAAGGAAGTATACCCTCTGAAATTTCAAAAGTTTGTCGACGTCCTTTTTTTTTTTCCTTTTTTTTTTGACTTCGTAGACAGGAAACCTACTTAACGAGGTGATAAAGGCATCCCCGGTACGTCCTTTTCAGATTTGAATCTTTGCATTCTACCCCTGCCAGGGGGTTCAGATTTAAACCTTTGCATTCTGCCCCTGTCAGGGGGTTGTGCAAATTTGCATTCTGCCCCTGACAGAGGTATAACACAGTTGGTAACCCCTTGACAGAGGGGTATAGGCGACATTTGAAATCCGAAAGGGCATTTGACAAAGTTTGGTATCTTTCAAATTGTTCGAGGGGTATTCCCCTCTACCCACATTTTCTAGGGGTATTCTTTTTTTTTTTTTTTTTTTTTTT